GGGGGGGGGGGGGGGGGGGGGGGGGGGGGGGGGGGGGAGGGTGGGAGCGGGGGTGGAGGTGGGGGTGGGGATGGAGGGTTGTGGAGCAGCAACATAAGGAGCAACAGTAAATGAGTCTATCAATGGTTCCCTAGGAAAAAAAGGGTTAGCTGATACCCTAAACAGCACTAAATTTTAAATAAACTTGCTATTACAAGTTTAAACTCTTCCAAACAAGTCATTTTGGCTAACTGAATGTGTAATTAAATTTAAAAGCATACTAAAATAACACTTTAGCTGTTGACCTTAAAGATCCTTTTTGAAAAGCTCAACCAAAACACTAGCACAGGAGTGGCTTGACTTTTTGTATACTGAAGACAGCACCTCATGGCGACATGGTATTTATCCTTTTGCTGTTCAACTGATTGGTAGAATGTTAGAGTGAGCTATGCTAAGTACAGATACACTCAATCCTTTTACACAACTGGGTTTAACTAGTTTCTTACTCAAATTTCATCTCAGATTGGTAATTGTAAAGAAATAAGATTTAGTTGCAATGACCACCTCAATAGTCAATTAGCCAATGATTTAGAAATCCTGCCATTCAGACAAAGTTGACAGCATCAGCCAGAACCTTCCCCCACTCTCACCCCCAACACACATAGCCTGGACTTCTGTTGCACTTTTCAAAAGAAACAAGCAAGGGAACATTGATCATTTTTATTATTACAATGTAGCTTAAGAGAAGAAGGACCTCTGTTTTGCAGGGTAAAAACCCTGGGTTCTTTCCCTAAACATAATCATTAGTGACCCACAGTGACACTTCAATGTTGATATGGATTATCAGGAATGAGTGAAATCTGTCTAGCACAAAGACCCTTTCTGCTTTCAGTGGTCTTTTTAACTCTCAAGTAATTAGAGAAAACTTTTGACAGATCATGGCAACAAGGTGTTTCCAGAACTATTTTGGCAAATACATCAGAATTCATTACAACAGCACAAGTCATTTGCAAATCATACCTAAGCATAAGTGTTATTTATATTTGAGTATAGAAGGATATTTTGCACATACCATATCAATGTATTGCATTGCAGTACTGAGATGATATTTCAGTTTTGTTCTGAGGTGTATTACTATCACAACTTCCAGGTTGCAGTAAGTTCTGGCCAACAATAGCAGGAATTGAGTGGAAAGCAGTAGTCTATATAATTTTGATTCAATGTCCCCACCCTCATGTACAAATCAGGATGACTTCAACAATCTTGTATCTGTCAGAAGTCTAAGAAGTCTTGCAGCTTCCATGGAAAACTCACTGGAAAATTCCTCAAGTACAAATTACTAAGTGGTGTTTTAAAGATACCAACATGGGGGCTGGAGGGGATGGGACAGTAACATTATGCCCTAAGCCAGGTTCTTACTTTGTGTAAAAATTACTGCATGTAATGACAATTCAAGGTGGTAGAAAAGATGACAGAACAAACGCCCATCCCTGAAAGAATTATAACAGTTTAATTCAAATTACCTGAAAGTTTTTTCTGGAAGCCCAATCTCAAACACTTATATTCAGAATGTGCAGCATTGAAATTGAAATTACAACAATCTTTTGGTGATTTATTTTTAAGTGTTGGAGATAAACCTTGCTTGTATAGTTGGAGGTTTAACTGAACCTGAACTTAAGTTACCAAGCCAAGGAACAAGAGAAAGCACAACACAGTGACCCAACAAAGCAAGGACAATCCATGTTATCCTTCCCTCACAGGAAGAACTCCAAGCACTGTTTTCAGGAGGCCCAGAAAGCCTAACTAACACATGCAACCACCCCATTTTTTGAGAATAGTCAATGGTAGGTAGTGTCTATTTAATACTGAAGTATATCTTGCTAGGTATCTTTTTTTTTTTTTTTTTTTTTTTTTTTTTTAGTACACTGGAACATATTATGTTCATGAAACTATTTTCAGAATTATAAAAATACTCACTTTAGACATAACAGGCTATTGCAGTAAGGCCTTCATATTTTAGGGTGATAATAAAGCCCGGTAACATAAGTACATATTTTCCATTTTTTACTATGTTAAGGAGCCAATGAATGACAGAGGTTAGTGGCTCCAACAAAGGCTCACTACCCCATTACACCAGACCAGGGAAGAAGGGTAAACAAAGATTTCCAAAGAAGATGGCCCCATGAAGTGGGCTTCAGGCTTGCCAGATCTGAGCCTCCTTACAGTTGCTTCTGGAGTGCACTAAAGCCACAGGTGGATTGAAGAAAAATCGTCACCCTCTCAGATACATGCACAGAGATTGATGGAAATGCTACATTCATGCACCACATTCATGGCAATTTTGCACTATGCATTAGTAATGAGAGATACAACAGGATCATGTGATATTTACAAACCATTTTAATGTATATTTACCTAGTTGCCAGACTATAATCATTTTACAATTTGACATAGTAAAGCTACCATATGTTCAGATAGCTTGTCACATTAGACCTCCACCAACTTGAGGTTGACACTGAAACCACTAGATGAGCACAGCATTCCTCCTAGAGCCCTAAAAGCCCCTGTCTGTGTGGTTTACCAAATTGTAAAATAAGGCTGCAAAAAGCTTTGAATGCATTTTCTTACAGAGGCTGTTGCTAGTTCCTCCTCACTGATACCAAAGGGTCACATGGGAAAACTAAGCTCCTCTTGACACTCCATTCCAAGATGGAGAGAAAAGGTCTTATAACAGTTGATGACCCTCCCCTCCCTTTTATCTGTTTTTCTTGTAGAGGGACACAATACCTTTATTTATTTATGGTGGTGCTGAGGTTCAGACCCAGTGCCTCACGTGTGGTAGGCAAGCATTCTACCACTGAGCTACAGCCCACCCACCACCACCATCCTTTTACTAAGCAAGTTTGTAGTGCTACTAACAATCCAGAACCACATACAAAAGTCCTGCTGCACACATCACCACCTTAACCCAAACTTGGTTTGGTGCCTTTGCCACCAAGGCCAGCCCAGGCAAAAGATTAACCTGTGGTCATCGGCCAAGGAGTCACTGACAGGGCCAACCCTGGAGAAAGAGAGCCAACTTTATGTTTGTTTTAAAGGAAACACTTCCTGGCACATGTTTAGGACTCTGAACTCTGCACATGAAGCCACGTGGTTGGTCCTAATCTGGCTCCATCCACTCACGATCAGCCAAAGCAACCTCTTTCCTAGGGCAGCCCCAAGCGGGGTAAAAGACACTATCTATTTCAAGTCACGCGCACTTTGAGTTCTCTCTCCACAGCAATCCTCCTGCGCGCACAGAGTCAAAGGGGAAGTGGAAACCAGAGAGGCAGGGGGCGGCTGGTGTCCCTTTCGGCTTCGGCAGGAAAGGACTCACACCTGTGGAGCCCAAACTGTGTACGGTGGCTCAGGAGAAGTCTGAGAGAGCGAGATAAGAGCCTGCGCTTCCAGGAAAGCTGCTAGGAGAATGCGCTGGCACAATACTTGCGGCGCCCACCTGTAGCCACAGCAAACTTTCCGCCCCTTCTGGATTAGAAGAATCCGGTCCCTTACGCCACCCTCTGGCCCAAATCGTCACGGCCACGAGCTCCTCACCTGAAAACCCCAAAACCCCAACCTGATCTGTCCCATAGGGCTGCCTGCGTCCGCGGCCATTCGGGTTTGCAGTATGGAGGGTCCGGGTTGCCAGCTGGGGATTGGGAATTTGCAGAGAAGTGCGGGAAGACGCTGTTCTCTACCCTTTCCAACTTCAGCTCCCAACTTTACCAACCACACAGCCGCTGCCCCGCGGCATGTACCCGGCCCCCGCGGCCTCTCCAATTCGGTCCTTGGGGAGGGGGCTACCCAAGATCCACGGAAGCCCCGAGCACTTACAGCCATAGCGAGGTCTCTGCAGAGACGGCAGCTCTTCATGGGGCATCTTGCGCGTCTCCGGGGGCCCTCCCGGGGCGCGCCCCCCACGGCTCCCCTCGCTGGCCAGGCTCGCGGGCTTCGCGCCCCGCCGGCGCGCTGGGATCCCGCCTCTCTGCCCTCGCCCGCCGGCTCTGAGATGGGCGACCTGCTCCCTCGGTGCTTCCACCCCAGAGTCCGCTGCAGCCGCCGCGCGCTGACACTGGAGCAAAAGTGAACTCTCCTCCCTCGTTCCTTCACCGGCCGCCGCCTCCCCCAGCAGGTTTCCTTTCTCCTCCAGCCCGGCCCCGTTATTCACCGCGATGGGAGCGCGCGCCGCGGCGCAGCGACCCCTACCGCAAGCCGGGCGCAACGCCCAGACAGCTTGGACCCGCCCCTGCCCGGCCCTCGGGTGGGAGGAAGGGGTTGAGCAGCCTGCTGGGCAAGGACCCCCTGCTACTGGGGCCCAGCGCACAGCTGGCGGCATGGAGGTAGAGCCGCCCCGCCTGGTTTTTTAGTGCTAGAACTCTTAGAGGGTGGAAGTGAATCAACCCAGAGAAGAGCTAGAAAAACCGCAGAAGACACCGGCAGCCCCAGTCGCCCGGGGTGAGGGACAAACAGCGAAACTGCGCGGTTTCTTCACTGGGGAGATTGCGCGGATCTCTCTCTCTCTCTCTCTCTCTCTCTCTCTCTCTCTCTCTCTCTCTCTCTCTCTCTCTCTCTCTCTCTC